CAGACATAGAGCAATTATAGCAGACAGTAGCAGACAAGAGACAATATAGCAGACATTAGCAGACATAGCGAGACAGATAGAGGACTAATATAGCAGACATAATCAGACATGCAGACATAGAGACAAGGATAGCAGACATAGCAGACATAGCAGACAATATAGCATACAATAAGCCAGACATAGAGAACAAATATAGCAGACATAGCAGACATAAGACAATATAAGCCAGACATATCAGACATGAGGACATATAGCAGGACATAGCAGAATAGAGACATATAGCAGACATAGACAGACATAGAGACAACTATAGCAGACAAGAGAATATAGCTAGCGGCTCTAAGCTCAGAATAGCATCTATACACAAAGAAGACACGTTATAGGAATAATAACAATAGTTAGTACAATAAGCACTTACAATTTTCAATAAAATGCAGTAGCCAGTAGGTTAAACAGTGTAACAATAACCAAAACAATAAACATGTAATAATGAAACTTATCTTGTCGTCGTGTGTTTTGTGTGGAAAGGAAGGTTAGGACGTTTTTTCACATGAACTATAGCTGACATCTTAGGTGGATATCCGGTCTGTCTCACATAGCAGTCGGTACCGAGTATCGTGGGAATGCAGAGCTCCGGTTATGAAAATGCCGTATTGGCGCCTATACTCAAATCTCTCGCGCATGGCATGCTAGCGCGGCAAGATGCGAGACATGACCCCGCGCCATCACGTGTATTTCTTCAGTAAATGATCGCTATAATTAATGGACGAAAAGTTCCCTCCATCAGGCCGGACTTAAAACATTCAGATGCACAGTACCGAGTAAGTCAACACTGCTTTAAAAATGAAGCAAAGCTAATCATTAACTTCCGACCTCGCGAAAATATTACTGAGTAAATAAAGGAGTAAAGCGTAAATAAGTAATATAATTAAGTAACATGTTAATGACTCCTGATTTTCTCTGTGCGCTCTATACCGCTCTAGGGGTTCCGTGTAAACGTCGTGACTCGCTATGTACAGATATACAACAATCAACCATATAATAAACGCAACGCGTTCGATAATCTGACGCGATGGCAGCTCAACACCTTTAATCTGATTTTCAGCGCCGCTGCAGTGTATCACGAAACGTTTGAAATTAAACTCGTGTAAAACTAGGTCAGACCTTACTTTCATTGGTATCCATCGACCTGTACCGTGTCATTCCGCGCGCATCATCCGTAATAGGACTAGCCATATATTAGACCACTCGAGCTCCTTTACTATTATACCGGGCAGCGGAAATAATAATTAATTCAACGCCGAATCCTTAAACTGATTGCATGCACTTATGCGACTATAATAATCTACAGATCACGAATGATATAACGTAATGGAAGCGCAGAGCCTCGCCCACCTTCTTTAGGACAGAAGTCCTATGTTGAGAGCAGCCCGACCATGAAATTATGCTCGCCGAACTCTCGAACGAAATTGTGTAGCACCACGAAATAGCGCCAAACGAAAACGCCGATCCACGCCACACGAAATGCCGAGAAAGGCCGCAGAAGGTACGGCCCAAGCCCAACCACCATCTGGCGACTAGAGCCTCATGATCCACGCTGCCTGCATCGCTTCAGTCTGCAAAGGTATATGCCGCCTTGGTTATCGTAACGCTTTCAGGCTAAGGTAATATATCATGATGAATTCTACGCCCTAAGGTATTCCGTATCCATCAGACTTCATCTTTACGCAGAAACACGTAGTTTAGAAATATCCTAGTTTTGGGACTTAATCGCCCTAGGTGCTATATCGATATATATATTATTATATATATATATAGATATATATATATAATATCCAAGAGCTCACTAATAGAGATCTCTATTAGTTGACTCTTGATATACTATTGTTATATATAGGCCTATACTAGCCCTTAGGTGATTCGCACGGTGAAGGCTGCGCGAGGTGAGGCGTGCGGAGAGAGGTCAAGGTCAAAGACGGTTAGGTTTGGAGACTAGACGTCGTGCGAGTTATTGGCGGACGTGACGTGGATCTTGGACGTGCGTGGCTGACGCGTGATTTGACCTCGATAAATTATAACGTGGGAAGTGGATACTCGTTTGAGATAGACTGTTAAGCTTTGTTATCTGAGAGAGAAGACCGGCGGCCGGGAGAAGTGGCCGAAGTTTCGTCCTGAGAGAAACGTGTGGGCTGGAGAGAGCGAAAGAAGAAGAAGAAGAAGAAGCAAGAAGAGAAGAAGAGATTGAAGAAGAAGAAGAAGAAAAAGAATAAGTGAGCAGAGAAGAAGAGCCCGGAAGAATCAAGCAGAAGAGGCAGGAAGGAGAGAAGCCCGAAGATTGGAAGAAGCCGCAAGAGAAGAAGACGACGCCTTATCTACGTGTTGTATTTCTAAGTAAAAGACGGAAGAGCTACGTGTCAATATATATATAATCTGAACAAAGCGATGGCGCCCACCTATTAGGCGCGTAATCGCCTCATGTTACAATAAGATTAACATGTATAATACGCGTTGACATGCGTTCGCTTCACTGACGAGTAGGCGTCTGGTGAGTAGCGCGCCGTAGCGGCGGCGTTTGACGATCAGCGAGCGTAATGCATTTAACGCGTTAAGTAATATCTAACAGTTTATAGTTGTGTAACGTATCAATGTAGTAGTTTTCTTAATTGTAATGATGGGGATGTGGGCGTCGCCAACGCTTACCTGATACATGGTTGTCAATTAAACTTTCAAGTATAAACACATTTCCGTCTACAGCATATGCAGTTGCTTCTACTTGCTAGCGCTAGCCATCAGCAACTCGTGACATATAACAATAATAGGGCCGAATAGATATATGACGATATATAATTACTATATAATATATATCAGCACGCAACCCACGACACACGAAGCGCACGCACAGCCCACAGACGCACGCACCACACACATATACCACGCCAGACGCCACGCACGCACGCAGCGCGCAACGCACGGCACGCACCGCACAACACACACACACACACACACACACACACACACACACACACACACACACACCACATCAGGCACACACATATATATATAATGTTGTGTTGTCGGTGTGTGTGTGTGTGGTGTGTGTGTGGTATGTGTGTGTGTGTGTGTGGTGTGTGTGTGTGTGTGGCGTGCGTGCATGTGTGTCATGTATGCGCTGTGGTGTGTGCGGCGCGCGCGCGTGTGTCAGACCGTGCTTTCATGTAGGACACGTAGAATTCATGCGTGAGAGATTACACATATTACCACTGCTGGTTATGATGACTGGGATTATCACCATTATCAATGACGATAAACTCATTGCTAGTAACCAGCGTATGAATCGGATGAGAATGTTTAACTGACATCTTAAGCTGGCATCCGCGCGCAAGATTTCCGTGCACATTAAAATGTCGTAACCTGTTACGCTAATCATGACGCACCATTCGAGCACACTACGCCGCACACGCACACAGTCATGCAGCACACACACGGCGCTGCGCACACCGCGACACGTACACGCACACGTACACGCCACACGCACAGTCAATGCCCAGCACACACTCACGCGCGGCAACAGCGGCCACACACCACACACACACACCCACACCAGCACAGGCACACACACACAACACACAACACCACACACACACCACACGGGCTGTACGCACACGTCGCGCCGCTCGACACGCCACGCGTAGCACGGCACTACGCGACGCACGCACGCTACGCACCAACACCACACACACACACAACAACACACACCGTGACACACACAACACATACTCACAATCCCCCTACTCTCTCGCTTTTCTTTCGGTCATGCACAACCCTGCTTTCTCTCTCCTTTATTCCCCGCCACTGCTCTCTCTCTCTCGTCTCCTTCTCTCTCTCATGCTCGCTCTCTCTCGTCTGCTCCTCTCTCTCTGGCTGCTCAAGTAAAGTCGAGAAGGGTAAACCGTAATTCATATTGACTTTTGCTCAAACCGGAGCAACGCACTTCCCCACAACGGACAGGCGGCGGCAGAAAATGTCTGTCCCGCTGCGTCTGGCCACTCTCAATGAATCACACAACGGCAATAACACAACTGCTGGAGTGCGCTTGTGACCGCCTGCCTTGCCTGCATCTACAACAGCACGCAGCTGGACGTACGCACACGCGCGCATGCACGCATGGTTGGCATTAATGTCTGCGTCTTTTATTCTCCCGCTCTCCCTCCTCTCTCTCTCTCTCCCTGCCTCTCTCGCCATCTCTCTCTCTCTCTCCTCCTCTCTTTCTCTGTCTCTCATCTCTCTCTCCTCGCTCTGCCTCACTGCCCTGTCCTCCTGTCAATATAGGCAGATATTGGTCCAATATTGGCCTGGTGATATTGGCCCAATATTGTTTTGCCAATATTGAGCCAATATCAGCTTGATGGGTGGGTATCTAGATAACCCTCTGCCAATAATGATGTTCGGAAAATATACCCTGTCCAGCGGCACGTCCCCAGTACCTTAAACTGTTCCAAGCTGAAATCCTCTTCACGCGGCGTTGCGCACACGTGCAGCTGTTACATAATTTTAACAGCGTATTAAAAAGGTACTTAATTCACTTTTTTACCTTTTTAATACGCTCTTGATAATTTCACACACAGGTCCCATAGCTAGCGCATTGCTGAATAAGCTAGGCGCTCGACTGACGGTGATCATTGGAGGCTTGTTGGCATCGGGCGGTCTCATTAGCGGTTACTTCGCCCAAAGCGTCTATCACATCATCATCTCGTTTGGATTGGTAGCAGGTATAGTGATTTCTGCTTCGTCCGGCCTCGGATAAAGGGGCGCATTGCTTAAAATACACATCTTTTTCATCGCTTAATTGAGACCGCCGCTTAATCGGGACACTTTAAACTTATTATCTCATGAATAAATCGGAAACCTGCATAATTGTAGACAAATTGGGGCTCAGCTATCAGCGGACATTTTACTGATTACTCCCGCACAACAATCGCCACAAATTTGTGCTGTTATAGGCTATAAAACAGCAGATGAACAGCAAACGTGTGCCCGCTATCTTTAGATAGGCCTACGTCAGATTCGCGATAATGCAATGTTCAAACGGTCCCACAAAACAAGTGGATGTAGGCCTATAGCGTGACGCAAATATTTATAGACTGGTAGGCCTATCTATCTCGAAATGTATACAAAGATAATTAACATAGCGTAGAGACAGCTTGTTCTGAGCTATCACTTACCACCATAGTAATTTGTATATTTTACAGGTATCGGCTTTGGAATGGTCTTCACTCCATGCATGGTTATGGCGGGAACCTATTTCAATAGATGGCGCTACCTGTCTACAGCCGTCGCGTGCAGTGGCGCTGGATTTGGAACTCTTGCCTTCTCTTTCATCTATAGCAATCTGACGGAGGCTTATGGCTGGCGAGGCTCTATGCTAATAAACGGTGGCATAGCCCTGCATCTCGTGCTCTGCGGTGTCATCCTGCGGCCTTTGTCCAACGCACCAGCCGCTAAGATGCCCGCATGTGACGTCACGTTGCTGCGTGACGTCGACGTACTCATCTTCGCCGTCAGTATGCTCCTCTGGAGCATCGGCGCAGTGACGGTTTACGTCATAGTCAGCGATTATCTCATAGAGAGTGGGATAGAGGAAGCTAAAGCCTACTTTCTAATTACGATCATCGGGATAGCCGCCTCGATCGGGTCCCTGTTAGCTGGTTTCACCGCTTTTATTCGTCACATACCCTACGTTAACCTTTGGGTTTACACCTTATCCGTGGCCGGCCATGGAATATCGAGCATGCTGTTTAGTACTGGCGGAACATTCGGCGTCTTCGCCCTGTATGGAACACTATTCGGGTTCTTTTACGGTATGCAGCTGGGAGCGTTGGCAAACGTTGTCATAGAGTTCTTCGGAATTCAAAAGTTCAACAGCTATGGTTACTTCCTGTTTGCCGAGGGAATTGGAAATCTAATTGGAGCTCCCATTGCAGGTACGAGTGTAAAAATTAATTTACGACATTCTTAGTGATAATCTTACCGAATTTTATATTTCAGAATGATTTTGTTATCTGCTGCCGAATGATTTGTACATGGTTCACTCCATGCAAGTCGTTCTACCAGGTTTTCCTAATTTTATTAAGCTGGTGATACATAATTAATGTTATGCATACTTTACTGTAAATATAGGAAATGATTCCTTCTCATGATTGATTAATCGATCACGCACTTAATGAACTGATCGGCTGGCCGAATATTTGATTAATGGTTAGATGGATTGATTGGGCACTTAATAGATCGATTGATCGATTTCCGTTGATTTAGGTGCAATTCGTGATTACACCAAGAGTTACGTCATATCGTTCCTGTTCGCTGGTTCGTCCAGTCTGCTGAGTTCTGCTATTCTCGTCCTGCTGTATATCCTCGACAAAAGAAAAAAACCCGCACCGACCGACGTTGACGGAAAGCAACGCAACTCTTCAGTAGATCATCAGAGAGCTGAGGAACAGTATCGCCCTCGCACGATGTCTACGCTAACAGCTGAGACTGAGGTAGCTGACGCTCCTAACATCTAGGTTCCTTGTAACCCTGTCACGCGTGAACAGTACTATTTAGCATTTATTGATGTGGGCAGTGATGTTGCACTGAAAATATACAAATAGCATAATGTGGCCGTAATTCAATATACATGCCTATACTACTGTTTACGCGGAATATAAACTGACCACACTCGCGTATCACGTATATGTACACCATGTGTAAAAGATCGACGTGAAAGAAATATTTACTACAGAATATTGCGAAAAACATTGTCTATATGTAAGTTAGATAACTTAGAACCGTGCTATCACTCATTCATGAATCTGCACAATACGTGCGCTTGTATATTATGTCACTCGCCTGCCTGAAAGGAATCATCCAACGAGCGTTGTAAGGCATCGAGTCTAAGAAAACTGATGGAATCAAATCAAGTTGAAAAATGTTGTCTCATGATGTAGTAACCGCGCCTTTCTTATTGTCTATTCATGGTGCGTACTGCCAGCGATCGAGTCTGCATTCCTTCTACGTGGCGCAAGGAAATCTTATATGTTATAACAGTGTAACCATGTGTATAGTCCGATAACAATCGCAGCATATTAATTTAACAGATTCAAAAATCTATTACATATGTATGGCGTTTAGTGATACGGAACGTCTTCCCGCTGTAGCAGCTGTCAACATATTAGCTGAGTGCGTACTAATAATCCCAAGGCGCGTACCTTTCCTAGACTGAACGCAACAGGGCACTAGATCATGAGGTTCTATCGACAAGATGGTGGTTGGACCTGGGCCGTACTCTACTCGGCCTTCCTCGTGCATTTCGGGGGATTCCTGGGAATGTCGTTATCGTTTGGCGTCTATTTCGTGGTGCTACAAAATGTCTTAAGGTGTTCGACGAGCATAACTTCATGGGTCGGCTCTCTCAACATAGGACTTCTGTTCATAACAGGTGGGCGGAGCTCTGCGCTTCATTACGTTATATCATTCGCATCTGTAGCGTTCATTATATCCATAAGTCATGCAATCAAGTTTAGATTCAGGTTGTTTAATTATCCATTCTGCTGCCGGTATAATTGTAAAGGTGCTCGATGGAACTTCTTGATATATGGCTATTACGAACTGATCGGTCGGAATCGACAACGTAGCAGGTCGAATGATACCAATTAATAATTTTACATAGTTTACACGCGTTTAAATTCACGTTTGTCTTACATAGCAGCCCTGAAAATTAGATTACAGTGTTGTGCGCCAACGCATCAGCTTATATGAACGCGCGCCGTTTATAATATGGTTTATTGTTATATATATATATATGTATATATAGCGAGCCACGACACAGTAGATAAATCAGGAGTACATTCACATGTTACTTACATATTACTTACCTACTTATTTATTTACTTAGGGTCGATCATCCCCTAATTTTACCAAATTTATCATAGTGAATTTACATTTCAGAGACTAGCGTATATTGGTAATGACTTACAAATTGCGTATAATTATGGGTGAATTACTGTATCTCAATTTTAGTGGTCATATTTCACAAATCATGTGAGCGAATTTAGGTAATCCGCGTTTTCGCAATATTGGGTATTACTGTAGAGTAATGTTAACCATTTTGTTGACTTTGACTTTGTATAAAAATGTTTGGCAACTTTCAGAGGTGTTTATTGGAATGCTTTTGGTTATAATTCGAGTCTTGCTCTGTGTTTTGGACAAGAGCTGACCACAGTTTTACCAGGATTACTATACATAAAGAAATTGTTGTTAATACTGTCGTGAAAACTTGCAAAACTCATGATGTCATGTTCACCTTGACCTTGTATATTTTTTACAAAAATTATTCAAGTGTGAGATACGTATGGCTGTCAGCACATTATGTGATAATACGCGAAAATAATTCAATTACGACATACTTACATCCTCTACTACATACGTATAGGATTCTTATGGTGGGTCTGACACATATAATAGCAGCTAGAGGGAAAGCTTATGAAAATATCATACCGTGATAAATCCTAGCATTGGAAAGTGCTGGACATTTCCATTTTCCGCCCCCTTTTGTCCCAATTTATAGATGTCTATGCACGGCCGGCATAAGCTAGTGCGGGCTTGTAGCATATTATGTTATAAGCGGGCCCTAAATATTAAAAAAATATGAATATTAAAACACGTGAATTTAAGTTAATCTAAATCTAATACATTTTCTAATAAGTTAGATGGTTAATCAATAGATTTAATAGAAATAGATTTACTCGCAATTAAACTATACCAGCACTCATTGTATCGGGTTTACGTGTATACTAAAATAAATGTTTTTTAATCAAAATTTAACTATTAGATAGTTCATGATATTACGGGGACCCGAAAACCACAGGGACCCTAAACCACAGGGCCCCTAAAACCACAGGGCCCCTAAAACCACAGGGCCCCTAAGCTACTATTGTTAACTCAGTAATCTGCTAAAGATATGTATTTGATTCGATAAGTAAGATAGGAACCCACTCACAGCGTACACTAGCCAAGCATAAGTTAAATTTCAAATCGTGGTTGAATCTATTCGGAAAGAAAACTATTGTGTATATCTATATTGCAATGTTTTTGTTTGTGTTCGTGTACTGACATGGAACAACGTGTTATCTGCGGGTCCTTGTGGCTGTCCACCTGCCCATCAGTTCATTTATTTGATTACCTCTCTGTGATGTAATTGTAACTAAGTACACACACGCACACACACACACGTACACACACACACACACACACACACACACACACACACGCACTGGTACGGCATAAACACACACATGCACCCACACACACAGACACACCCACACACGACACAACACGAAGCACAGCACGCTCTCTCTCTCTCTCTCTCCTCCTACCTCTAATCTCTATTCTTGGCGCCAATGCTTGCCCAATCCACCGCAGATGGCGTGAACACAGCAGGCCACGACTGCCAGCCGGGCGGGCGTTTTCTGGCGCACGAGCTCTGTCGCAAAACTACTCAGCGTGTTTCGATGACTCTTCCAGACACTGCGCCGTGCTGCCGCCCCAGAAGGCAGCAGCAGCGTTAAGGCGTTAAGAAACTAACGAACGCTCTGGCCAGCGCCATTGTTGCTCATCTCTTATATTTGCCTGTATTTTCGCAAGGTGCGCGCGTGACTGACGGGGGGGGGGTACTGCTCCCCTGAGGGTGTTTCCCACCTACAGCTGCATCCGTTCGTTAAATTATGTATATACATCAATAACAATAATACAATATATATGATATTATGTGTGTGTGTGTGTGTGTGTGTGTGTGTGTGTGGCTCGCTGTGTGTGTGTGTGTGTGTGTGTGTGTGTGTGTGTGTGTGTGGTGTGTGTATGTGTGTGATGTGTGTGGGTGCGTGTGTGTGCGTGTTGTTTTTTGGTTGTTTGTGTGTGTGTGTGTGTGTGCCTGTGTGTGCGCGAGGCGCGCGCCGGGGCCGCCCGCGTGTGTGTGTGGTGTGTGTGTGTGTGTGTGTGTGTGTGTGTGTGTGTGTGTGTGTGGTGTGTGTGTGTGTGGTGTGTAGTGTGTGTGTGTGTGTGCGTGTGTGGTGTGTATTGTGTGTGTGTGTGTGTGTGTGTGTGTGTGGTGTGTCGCTGTGCTGTGTGTCGTGTGTGTGTTTGTCTGCGGCGTGTGTTTAGTGTGTGTGGTGTGTTATCAACACTATTTTAGCATACACGGAAGTAGGACTAATTGTGTATAGTAACTATAACCCTAATCCCAATCTATCTATCGCGCTCTTCGGTAAGCCCTTAAATATCATGCATGCCGGCTGGCACCCTAACCTAACCCTACCCCGCGGCGTAAAACGCACTTGTCGTCCATTTCTGCTCGCTTAGGCGGGCGCAGTATCACGCAGAGAGAGAGAGAGAGAGAGGAGAGAGGAGGGAGAGAGAGAGAGAGAGAGAGAGACGAGAGGAGAGAGAGAGAGAGATCAACAGAGGGGGGAGAGAGAGTGAGAGAGAGAGAGGAGCAGGAGAGAGATAGGCGAGAGAGAGAGGAGCGCGAGAGAGAGAGAGAGAGAGAGAGGGAGAGTGAGAGAGAGAGAAAGAGAGAGAGAGAGAGAGAGAGCGAGAGAGAGAGAGGAGAGGGAGAGGAGAGAGAGAGAGAGAGAGAGAGAAGAGAGGAGAGAGAGAGAGAGAGAGAGAGAGAGAGGAGAGAGAGAGAGAGCGAGAGACGAGAGAGAGAGAGACAGAGAGCAGC